GCGAAGGGTTTACCGAGGACTTGCGAGAAAATCCTCGAACCTCCTTGAACCTGGAATTCATCTAGTGGCGAGAGATGATGCCACCACAGTGTGTTAAATATTTATCGATATTTTTAATAGTCGCTCCGTGTTTCCATCTTCTTTTTTGGATGATGGTACTTTGAATTTAACACGATATTAGAGAAGCTGTAGAAAAATATTGAAAAATTTTTGGAAGTATATAGAACTGTAATTAATTTCTTGTTTAATTTATCTGTTTATTTATGGGGTGGAAAATATTGATTGCATCTTTTTAAACTAATACAAACGTATACTACTGTACTACTACTACTACTACTACTAAAGAATTCGAAATGAGTGCTTGGAATATTTTAATTTCCCAATGTCTGAAAATATGTGTCTATTTTTGATGAAATTAATAACTATTATTATTATAATTTATGTATAGTACATTTAATTTCTCATTATAGTTCTAGTATTAATAAATCTCCTATAATTTTAATTTATATATCTGAGAGGATAAGAAAAGGATCAAAAAATTCGCTAATCCTTATTTCGTTTTCCAACGTTTATCAACAAGTGCACGTGCGTTGGAAAAGTATGAAAGATATGAAAAGTGAAATACTGGCGAGGAAGGAAAAAATTTGGATTTCCGAGATACGAAAGTGAAAGAGAATTTTTAAATCGCGCAGAACTGCGTATCGATCTTCGACCCCTTTCATCGCGGAGAGTCTAATCTCGAGATTTTAATCAGCCGTCCGGGAAAAAGTGGATCGGTCACGTACAACGAGTTTCCCTTCGCTTAACCCCATGAATAGGGTTGTCGAAACTGTTGCGACAACATTTTTCAGCATCGACCGATTAATAGAGCGGAAAACACCAAAGCGTGCTTATCGAACTCAAACGCATCGCGATTGCAGTTCCGCGAGTGGTTAAGCGGCCGATGAAAACCGATATGCAAGTGAGTTTTCATTGAAATTAAAGCTAAGAAGCGTAAACAGGAAATAAATGATAATTTTAAGCTCCGAAATTAATTTTCCAACTCCACAATTTTCTTCCAATCTCCGAACAGCTTGTAACCCTATGGTTCGTTCATTTTTAATTCCTTGGGTTAATTTTTATAAATTTTTATCAATTTCTCGAGTTGGGTTCGATTAAGAAAGATCGAAATTTTCATTGTGTTAATTTTCACTAAATTTGGATGTCAGGTTTTCTAATCCTCTGCAATCTTAGAGACACTTACGATTCCTAAATTTTTCATACCTAAATTTCGTAGATTAAAGGTTTTGACGATTTTTCGGGCCTGGATTTGATATAATGAAAGACGTATTTTGTTTATGTGCATGTTCCTAGGTTTTGGTTTCGATTGCGAAGAGCAAGGAGACCTAAATCTTCCCTGGTTTATTGAAATAGTAATTACGGGAACGTAGGCACTTGCAAATCCGAGAACGCATCTGGCCAGAGCTGGATTACGGAATTTCAGGCCGATTTCCATGAAATTAAGGACACGCAGAACCAGGGTTACTTACCTACATGCATCACCTAAAAATATATAATTCAGGAAGTTATTCGGGAACCTGTTTCCCACCTACGTCCGCAGACGCCTCGGTACCCTGCTTTAGAGTAGTTTGCTACATTGTACTAATTTAAAATTACCAGGAATCTAGTTGCTGCTGCGGAATCTGCACCCACCTTCCATTATAATTATACGAGAACCTCGGATATTCCTGTTATCCAAATTTTTCAGAAACTTATATCTCTAATCGTTTTCCCTATTTCGCTCTTTACAAGTATGAAAATTTTACCTTATTCAGAAATTCAGAAATTTTATATGCTTCTTACTTCTTGATCATTTGTAACGGAATATCCCAAAACCCAGAAGACAGGGTGTTAAAAATTTAAGAAAATAATATTCGCAAGAAAGCGAAATTTAACCCTTTGTGAACCAAAGCAACTGGTTCATAATCAAAAACCTACCTGGAAAATTTAACACTGCTCAAAGAAATTTTCGAAAGCTTCCACAAAAGACAAATCAATAAACCACTACAACCACCCCATTAAATAAAAAATAAATAGAAAACAAATTAATTGGATCATAATTAAAAACTAACTCGCAAAATTTATCACTGATGAAAGAAAATTTCAAAAATTTCCACAAACAACAGATTACCCGATCAAATACAAAAAATAATTTAAAAAAAGTTATTTTCTGACCAATTCACACTATTTTATTCGAAATAAAGAAAAATAATTGTCAAAGCCAGGATATTATTCGAATGCCCGAGATGAATATTCCGCATTGGTGGAGTCGAAATGCAAATTACCACCTCGCCCGTATCCCGGGCCCGTCGATATAACTCAAGGCGATAATTTCGGGCGGCCGTGTGCTACGTGATCCAAAATGGCGGGAACAAAGCCGGGACGCGGGCACGCTCATTAACTTTCCAACTTCATCGAGGCCAGCCGCTTATCGGCGTTATCAGGTCGCCCGCTAATATCTCACTGCCTAACTAGAAATCGATGGCGGACACGTCGCGGCCTCCGCGCCGTTTAATACCAGCGAAAATTATTGTCCAAGTTACGCCCTCGCTCGAGTTCCGGCGGCGAAGAAAAATGGCGACACGTCGCGAGGGAACAAAGAGAGCGGGGGGCCTCGCGTTCGAGTCGCTCGATGAATAATGCAAAAACCGACCCCCTCCGACGCTTCTGTTCCTTTGTGCCGGTAACAACGTCGAGCATCTTGGAATTTTCGATCCGATCGATGAGATTGCCGCAAGTGCAGGATCGAATGGCTGCTACTTGAAGAGATTTCGAATCGGAGCTTGTCGAGAATTCCGTTTTTGGACGGTTAGAAGTTTGGACGGCTTTCGAGAGCCTTTTGTGCCCTCTTTCGCCGTTATCTTGCTTTATTTCTTCCTTTCGTGGCCGGTGTGTATAAAGCAGTTGCCCCGAAGCGACTCTTTCTTCGTTATTTCTTTTTTCACTTCCAGCAGTTTCTTGTTGCGGATTCTTTGTCACAGCGTGCGGAGATTTTTGGAATTTTTATTTTATTCCAGTAATGGAATTCTTTTTCTGTAATGGTGCAACGACTTTGTAGCTCCGGCAAAGACGTCGCGTTACGCGAAACCTAACCTAAATCCAAACCTTAAGCCAAACTAACTAAAAATTTATGTATAAGATCATGCTTCCTCGAGCACGATTAGCAAAATACGAATTATCTGCTTAACTGAGGCAACGTGTTTTCATTTACTTCGGTTATGTGCATAATTCACCTGCATGATATCACAAAATTAAAAAAATAATAATAAAAATTGCATATGAAGTTGATACGTACATATGCATATATGTATAAATTCTCCGCGTTATTCAAGGGCTGTGTGTAATTTATAATTTACGAATTAAAACTGTAGAATTTTTACAAAATAATTCCACCATGAGTGATTCGATTAAATCCGAAATTATTAAAAAACAGGAAAAAGAGAGGAAAAAATGTCGTACCCTGAGCATATCACTTAATACTTATTTACCCTCCCATAACTGGAGTCATTACGCTAATCCCGTTGCAAGCTCGGCTGCCACATAAACACCGATATACCTCTCGAGAAACGAAAGAAACCACCAGCTTCGTTTTCAATAAAAACACATTAACTCGCACCTTAACTGAGCAACACGCACAAACGCTTCAGAAATTCAACTTCCAACACTTTCTACGAGTGCCACTGAATGGCGTGCTTACACCTAGCGCCACCTGGATTCCCCTAGAGCAGCCCATTCGGTTCGCGAGCAGCGTCGAAACGTATTCTTGCTTCACGGTTAATTAGGGGACCGGCGACGTGATTCAGACAGCCAATTCGAGTAATTAAACGCGGTCCAGGGTTACTCTAATTAGATTGTCCGATGAAAAGGGGGCAGCTGGCCCGCGCGCAGGAATTCTTTCTCATTATCACGCGCGACCGCCATTTTGGCATGCGACCGACGCGCCACGGCGTTGCAAAAGGAGCGTGACGGAACAGAAGCGAGCCGTTTGGAATTTTATTGTTCGACGACACCGATTCTACTCGCTGTTGCTTCCCAGGCCTCGCAGGCTTTCGTGTACAATGAACTACTGGTTGACGGTTCGCGAATTTTTATTTCATAGCGCGTCGCGGAGAATGGGGATCGCGGAAATAGGGTTTGACGAATTTTTAAGAATTTTCGCTGGAATTCTTGCGCAGGAGTTAGGTGGCTTTTAATTAAAACAGCGGAGGTAATCTAGCAGGGTTGTTAATTTTCAGGTTAGTTTAGCGCTTGAGTATATAATGAGCGAGTGGTTATTTGAAAATGCGCCACACAATTTTTATATCGTATAGCTTGGTTCAAGCATTGATTGACGAATTTTCAGAATTTTTATTTATTTCAAGTTAAGATGATAAAGATATTCTTCTCGTATTGCCAATTTTGAGGTTAGTTTGGCGGTTTCTTGTATTATATAGCTTCGTTTGACTTTGACGCTCATATCTGAAAAATTGTTTGAAAATTATTGTTCATTTTGAGGTTAGTTTGGAAGTTAGTTACCAAGAAATCTAATCCAAAAATGGCGCGATTCGATGAAAAAGCACGCTTTGTAGGAAATATGTCGACTATTAGACAATTTTTAATAAAGTTAATTCAACCAAAGATATTCTTGTCGATTTGTTAATTTTGAGGTTAGTTGCACAGTTAATTATGTAGTGAATGAGTGCACAATACAATCTTCTTATCGTATATCTTGCTTCAAAAATGACTTGGTCGAATTTGCAGAATTTTCGGACATTTGCTGTTCGTTTTGAGGTTAGCTCGGAAGTTGATTAGCGAAAAACGTCGACCAGAGTTGCACGATTAGCGAGAAATGTCGCAATTCGATGGAAAAGCAGGCTTTGCAGGGGATACTTGTCCGTTGTGGTAAACACAGTCGGAGAGAGAGATCGCAGGGTTACAGTTCACGTGTTTGGCCCAAGGTAACTATCGAATTAACGTTTCAGCGTGGGTGGGCGCGTTGAGCACTGCGGTCTCCCGTGGGTCGGCACCCTTGGTCGTTGGCGCGTGTCGTCGAGGAAGTACAAGGCTTACAGCGGTGATCGGCGGTCTCGTGCTGGCATTGGCGTCGCTCTTCACCTCGTTCGCCGCAGAATTGCACCAGGTCCTCCTTAGGTGAGTAAGAAAGCCTCTGCTTCTTTTATTCATCACCGAGAAACCGTTCGCACCTGATTCGCCACTGTGCTTGATATATCGTTGTAACATCCGGAGAAATTCACGAGAAAACCGGAGATCTATCGGAATATATACCCCAGAAAATATTCGCGAGACAAAATCATGAAAAATTACAACGTGAACTTTGGTACACCTTTATTCCAACAATTTGTCGCGATTATTCCTCGCGAAATCGGTAACGCGTTGATAAAAGATACGAATCTTCGAATAGTCCAATCAGTTCCGCGCGCATTGATCTCAACGACGACCATTTTGTAGCCGCGCGTGAAATGGCCGCGATTATTACGTTTGCCGGGTCTTTTAAAACGCGCCATCACCTATTTAATTAAAAACTTGCCGCGAGTTCGAGTCTCAAAGATAAAATTAAATCGCGGATTTTCGTTCTTCGTGTCCTTTTTTTTATTCCTTCCGCGCTTTAACTTTTAAACTTCCCGCGATCCGGACTCCTTCAACTTCCTGCTGCAAACATTCGAGGAGCCCAACAACGCACGCCTGCGAAGAATTAATAATTCGCCGGGAAACCGACGAGCCCTCGCGATAAGTTTCGCTTTAAGTCGCTTAAAAATACAACTGCTTCTTTCCGCTAACTCCAACAAAACCTCCTAAGCGCGTTTTCGCCGTAATATCCGACCCGATAAACGAGAACGCCGGTATTCGTCGCGAATCAGCCCCAGTCTCGTCGAATAACCTCCTCCAACGGCAAATTCGACGCAACTTCTTTAAATCTTCTCCGATTAATTTATATATCTGTGAACTTTTAGGAGAGCAAGTTAAATCGTGCCGAGTTTCCTTAAATTTATGAATTTGTCCGAGATAATTTGCTCCACTCTGAATCCTCGCGAGTCGATCGGTGTTTCCTCTGAATATCTGCTAATTAATTTCAGTTCCCACGAATTTTAAAATTAATCTGTATCTATCTGAATTTTCCTGGCTCCAGATTCTGGTTTCACATTCTTCGATTTGTCGCGAATTTTAAGTTCGGCGAATTCGTATTTCTTCGTAGTCGAATCCTTGTATATTTATTCGCGTTCTCTACCCAGTCTGATAAATTCAATCCTCGTCAGAGAATCGAGACTGGATTCACGTACTCGTAGAATTTTGTAGATTAATTCGAGGCACTTGGAAATTTACGGATTCATCCGCGTTCTCCAAGTCTGACAAATTAATTCCATTTTCGATCGAGTCCTCGAGAATTAATTCCTCTATTCTCGAAACTTCGCAGACTAATTCGAATTACTTCTAATTCTCCTTCGTTCCAGGCACGATGAATTAATCCCACTTTCGATCTCATTCTCTCTACTTAATTTCGCGTATTCCCGAAACCGTGTGAATGAATTTTCTCGTTGGAAAATATGCAAATCTATTCGCGTTTCCCTGATTTCACTGTAAATTAATACCTTTGTTGGTTACTCCAAATTATCTTCTGTGTTCGAGCATTAACTCTCAAGTCTCTCGTAAACAACGATACCTAGCTTCCCCAGAGTCGGTGAAAATCGTGGTATTTCGAATCGCAGATTAAAGGACAGCTTTTGTATGAAATTCGAATAGAAAGTGAGACGGATGACCGTAGCGACGTTTCATCCTCGTTCGAAACTGTGGGTTGGATTCCCCGGAAGTGAAAAATGATAGGGGATAGGCGGAAACAGGCGAGGCTGGACCTGTGGCTCCCCTGAGATACGACCCTTCGATGGCCGAATCGAAGACGATCAGTCTTCGTTGAAAGCTTAGGTCCCAAACTGAGAACGAAAAGGAAGAATTAACAGGGCTTGCAGAAATACGCTGGACAAATAGCGTTGGCAGATGACGCGATGGGATTAAAGTAACGACCGCGTTGACAATTTTATTTCACTCCACTCTCCGCTTCTCTGCCGCAAATTTTTCCACTCGCCGAAATTCTCATTACACGTAGCATCAATTTCTGTAATCTCTGAAATCGCTTCGTTTTAATCGGTGTAGTATAAATTTATCTTGCATTAAAGCCTCCTTTATTTTTTACCATTTTAAATTACTATTTCAATAGTAATTTACTATTTGTTCTTTGACGTGGTTAGCGACTTCTTTACATTTTTCGATCAGTATTTCTGTAATATTTTACACGTGTTTTATTGAGCCACGTTTCTGATATTAAAATTCCATTAATCGTAGTAAACAAGGAATTTTTAATCGCTGTATCATCGGTTAAAAAACTTCCCAAAGGATCTATCGAACTGGCAGGGACTTGAACACTTGGCATTAATCTTGAACCATTTCAATTCTTTCCTCGGTTAATGTTTCTCCAATATTTTACATCTCTGATATTAATATTCCATAATCATAGAAAGCAAGGAATTCTTAACCACTGTATCATCGGTCAAGAAAATTCCCAAAAGATTTATCGAACTGTCAGGGACTTGAACACTTGACAGAAACCTTGAACCATTTCAATTCGTGCCTTCTTTACTTTCCTCGATCAATGTTTCTCCAATATTTTACATCTTTGATATTAATATTCTATAATCATAGAAAGCAAGGAATTCTTAACCACTGTATCATCGGTCAAGAAAATTCCCAAAAGATTTATCGAACTGTCAGGGACTTGAACACTTGACAGAAACCTTGAACCATTTCAATTCGTGTCTTCTTTACTTTCCTCGATCAATGTTTCTCCAATTTTTTAAATATCTGATATTAATATTCCATAAATATGGAAAACAAAGAATTCATAACCACTATGTTATCGGTTAATAAAATTCCCAAAAGATCTATCGAATGGTCAGGGACTTGAACACTTGGCAGAAACCTTGAACCATTTCAATTCGTGTCTCCACTATTTTTCTCGATCAGTGTATCTCCAATATTCTACATCTCTGACCTTAATATCCCATAATTATAGCGAGCAAAGAATTCTCTAATCACCACCCACGTGGTACCCACTGTGTCATCAACCGAGAAAATTCCCAACTGACCTACCTAACAGCCAGGGACTTAAACACCAGACAGAAATGTTGAAAAAATATGTAAAATATGTTAAAGAAAGCGTAAAAAAGTCCAATCTACTTGGTACTTCTGGAAGCCAGGCCAGAAGCTCTCAAACGATCGTTCACCCTCGTCGTTCCTCTCGCACGAGCCACGACACCGTCCGTGAATCTCTGACGACGAACAAGAGGCGTCGAATTTGCCGATTCCTCGAGGAAACAAGCCGCAGCTGTAAATCCCTTTTCGCTTCAAACTTCGCCCTGATTCGCGTATCTCGCGTAAGCCCTGTCGAAAATGTCCCTTCCTCCTTCTCTTCCTTTCTCTCCTTCTTCTCTCTTTCGACGAATCGTCAAGCTATTCGCAGTACCCGCTGCTGCGAGTCGAAACGATTCACCGCTTGCAAAATGTAACAGCTACGGCGTGGTGCTGGGCACCGGGGCTGGCCTCGTGAGGGAAACTGCCGGGCTGGTGCTGGGCCATTACTTCAGAAAACGGCGAGAGTTCGTCGAGATGGTCGTGCAAGCCGGCGCGGGGGTGGGAATAGTGCTCTTCAGCGTCTTCTACAGAGAGGCCGTCGGGTAAGTTATCGGTTGTATTTCCTGTAGCAGATAGGAATATCGTCGTCTGCCACGATGGACGACGCGAGACCAATATCGTCTGCGAGGTCCAGACGAAATTTCGCGGTGGGCTTAATTGACCTGGAAGATGGTTCTTGGGAGAATTTTTGGTGGATGGTTTGAGACTGATATTGGGAAGATGCTACAAAGGAAGGCCAGGAATTAAATTATTGGGATGCAATTGACGTGATAGAAGATTCATGGTTGTGGAGACTGAATTGAATTTTTAATGGTGTTTACTGTGATGGAATATAGTCCATTTTTCAATCATGGATTTAATTAACCCCTTGCAATCGAGAGGCGCCTCTCAGTCGCCATTTAATCAAATTCTAAAGATGGATGTTAATTAATATATCAAATTCACAAGTACTTAACGATGCGTGGAATATCGAAGTAAAATAATTCTACGTCTTAATTTGCATACGATTTCTTATTTACCGTTTTAAAAACATCGTCGACTTTATGGCAGAAAGTCTTCGAATTACTATTTTCCTATAACGAAAAAATCCTGTAACGAGTGCAAAGGGTTAACATGCGATGGAACTTCGTGAAAGATTGCTTGCAACCTAGATTAGAGAAGATTTAAGATTAAATTGTAAAAATACAATTTATATAAATTCAATGGTGGATTTAACTAACACGCGAAGAAAATTCGTGAATGATTTTTAGCAATGAAGATTGGTCACATTGTAATATTATTTAGAATTAAGGAAGATTTGAGATTTAGGATTAAATTGCAGAAATATGAATTATTGAAATTCAATGGAGGATTTAATTAACACGCGAAGAAGATCCGTAAAAGATATTCTGCAGCAAAGATTGGTTTGAGTTTAACGTTATATAACATAAGAGAAGCTTCGAAAATATATTGTGGAATATATTTTACAGGCGACGAATTTAATGGAGGATTTATTGTAGCGAAGATCGAATCGAGTTGAATATTACTACAAGTGAAAATTTAGAATTAAATTGCAGAAATATAGTATAGAAGTTATTTTATATACAAAACCAGTGGACATTTAATTTATACATAATTGGTCGCAATAGAAATTCATTGCAATTTAAAATTTAGGTGCCCGAGGAAAATGTGCAATTAAACGTAACATTTAATTTATTCCTGTTCATTGTTCCAATATATTTCCATTGAAAATTAATTAAACAGTTGTAGACTGTTATAACCAAATTTGTCCCTTATAAATATAATTAAATAATATCTCGATAATAGAAAGAAAAATTTGAAATTAAATACAATCTGAGGATGAAAAATTCGTGAATATGTATCCAACGAATCTCGAAAAATTTTCAAACAGTATAACGGTATATTTAATAATCCACGTACAATCTAGATGGTATTTTATTTCATGAAAATTTACTGCGAAATTGGAGGCATTGGAATAACAGGTAATCAAAGTAATATGCAAAGTGGCACGTGCAACGATAATCAATTACGAACCGCAGTAATTACGCGTGCAAACAAGCTAGTAGAATGTGTCATTGTCGTAACAGGAAAATGGAATTTGGACGCGTATGATCAGACAAGTAGAACAGTTGCGTATCAGATCAGACAAGGCCAGCTGAATAACTGTGCTAGCCCAATAAGTAGGATAGATACATATCTAGACGGGCAAATAGAACACCTCTGTGTCTGGTCCTTCAAGTAGAATGGAATTGAATGTAATCAGACAAGTAGAACAGTATATCACTTGTGACAGAATTCATATCTAGCCAACAAATACACTCGCTATATGTACCTCCCTAGTCATATATGGTGCCTCGAATAATTCGATACATCGATTCGTCGATAATCAAACGTCGATATTTTACGTTTCTAATGCTTTTCCAATTTTCTTTTTAATATCTCTATTATTTCAGGTATTTTATTGGTCAATTAAGGCTGTTCACTTTGATCGTTTTCCTTATTAATAAATTTATTTTCTTCTGTCTTTAACGAAGTAATTAAATTGACTAATTAATTGGAAATTATTTTACATTCTATCATTTGTGACGAATTAATTTTTCATTCGTCTCCGATGATTAAATAATTGGAAATGATCGAGGTGGTCAAGTTGGATGGACCACCCTGTATATTTAGAAATATATAATCTGATATAAAATTAGTAGGAATACACGCGAATGAAATTCAATTCAAACGGTAATCGACAAAGGAGTTCAAAGGATTAAATCCATATCCAATTTGCCAAACGAAAAGGAGAAAGGAAGAGAAAAATCGGGACAGATATATAACAGAAACGCAATTATTATTCCATCAAGCTCTTCAATACCGATCTCCTTGCACGAACACTCTTTGTACAATCGAACGAAACAAACCGGCCGTCAATCTCGTTGTCTGATATCGCATTCTCTTCGCGCGAACATTTCCTAACGCTGTCGACGAATGTTTCCTTCTATTTTTTCCACCGTCGTCGGTGGCCATTGCTCTTCAAACCATTTTCTGTTGCACTGTACTGGCGTTCGAGGAAAGAAGAAATGCAGCAGTGTGTTTGTTAACTATCGATACGTGATCACGTTCTATGTAAATTTCGCAGATGAAATTTTGCGAAGGAAATTTTTACAAAGAATTTACGTAAAAAAAATTTAGTAGAAAAAAATTGCGTAAGGAAAGGTTTGCAGAAAGAAATTTTGCCAAAGAAATTTTGCGGAAATTTTGTCACAGAAATTTTATCAAAGAAATTTTACGAAAATTTTACGGAAATTTTGCGGAGATTTGTGGGAATTTTGCAGAAATTTTGCGGAAATTTTGTCACAGAAATTTTGCGAAACATTTGCGGAAATTTTGTCAAAGAAATTTTGCGGACATTTTGCGGAAAATTTACGGAAATTTTGCCAAAGGAATTTTGCGAAAAAAAAAAGATTCGCGATAAAAATTTTGCGAACGAAATTTGATATCAGTCGGGAGGATGGTGATTTTCTGGATGGCCTGACATAAAAAACAGGAGACAGATTCCACGTGAAATAATTGCACGTCTATTTTTCTCGATGCTCGTTCTGAATCGAACGTCGAAACGGTTTGTTCGATGCTACCCCTTTGGCGTTCCATCGAGTAATGGTCGATAGATTTTGTTACTCGAAAATTGTGGAAAACTTCCATAACACGTGAAGTAATTTTTTAAATGCGTTTTAATATTTCTTTTAGAAAGGAGAAGAGATGAATTACCTATGGAAATTTACATTTTTGAATAGATAAAATATATTTTTTATTTTTCTTATCATTTTTGTTATATTTATCATTCTCTCTTTTTTTCTTTATTTGGAGGTTTTTTACATTTATGATCTTTTTATTATCTTTCGCAATCTAGATAATGTATAATTTATGCAGTTCGCGAACTCATCCGTTGCATTTTTAAATGAAACCTGCGTTCGCGAATTTTAAAAAGCTTCGGGTATTTGAAAGTTTTTTAATCTTTGTAGATATTCAAGAACACAATAACACAGGGAGGGGTATTTTTGAAATAAGAGAAACTGATTTTTTTTTTTTTTTAATTAATTTTGCCACTGCAGAACGGCTATTGTTCCGGAACTTGAAATTTATTAAAAATTTATAAAAATGACGTCTAAGGTTTATTTCGATTACTGAAGATTGTAAAAATTAATCCATATTTCGTCAGCAGAAATATTTTCGACGGAGATAATACACAGTAGAATTTTTCAGGGAGTGCATACGAAACTAACATGCATACATTGGTCCCGAATAAGAAAGAATTCTATATATTCCGGAGTGGTCTTATACAAACTGGGAAACCACGTTCACTTGCCATGATTAAAGCAATTCTGGTTGCTGAATCAAATATGATTCTGTTCCACTTTTCTAGCCGCGTAATTTTCTCGTTATATCGGAAATTTTACTTGTCTGACTAGATACGATCCTCTTCCACTTGCACGAGTATCATAATCATGTACTCTGACGTTTTCAAATATGTAAAACTCTTTCCACCACTTTGTCTCTTCTATGCTGTGTACAATTACTAGTAACGCGCATTGTTTCCCATATTTTCCAATAATAAGATAATTTTTCCAACAATCCACGCAATCGGAAAATTAATTTCCTTCGAAAATTAAATTTCAATGGAAAATCAAATAATCGCACTAAATTTTTTCTCGATTCCACAAACCAGCATAATACATCAGCCTCGTATTTTCAATCCAAAAAATAATTTCTGCGAACTCATTTAAATTGAATTTCCACGAAATTGCTGAGGCTAAATATTTGCATGACGTTTAATTCCTCGGAATTCGTTACAAATATTTTTACCTACGCCTATGAAAGAAAGATCCATTGAGCAATTTCTAAGAATTTTATTAAAATAAAAGAGAAACTTGACGATTTTTCTTATAAAATATTATTCGTGAATTTCATACGATTAATAATTGCCATTTCAAAACAATAATAAATAAAATTCACTGATAAAGAACGGGACTTATTCGAAAAATAAGAACACGTGAGAAAATAAAATTAAAATGAAACGAAAATTTAAAGAATAATATTTTACAAGAAAAATCCTCGATTTCCTAAGATTAATAATTATCATTTCAAGACAATACTAAATAATAATAAATAATAAATAAAATTCCTAAGTAATTATTCAAACAAATAAAGTTTTAAGACCACGCCTTATTCGAAAATTAAAAAAGCGACGAAAAATAAAATTCATCATACGACCAATGCTGAATGGAGTCGATTTTCGACTGGATGACGGGAAGAAGCGCGTTCAATCGTGGAAATTTAAAGACGAAAACTCCTCGGAACACGAGTTACTTTCGTGCTGTCCCTAATTGCGTTAATGGATCGATCACACTTTCCGACCGAATATTAAACGGCGATGACGAACGAAGAAATGGCCCGTTCCCGACGCTTTTAATTAAACGAACGACGGGTCGTAAATTCGACGGGGACAGTGCAGATAATTAAATCTCGAGCAGAGTAACTCGAGGGTAAAAGTCGG